AGTGACAACACTGGCAATGCATGAGGGAGTTCCTGGCCATCATTTTCAGGTCTGTCATTATGTCTATCATTATATATATCTATATATAGAGATCTTTCACGTTATGAGCATCATTTGAATCATTTGATTAAATCACCATATATACACTAGTGTGCAAAAACTTAAGCGAATTCCTTTTTCAACATACAACCACGAAACTGCTGAAAAGAGATTTTTACGATCATTACCTTGAAAGCCGAAACATCTGTCGAGTTTAGAATTATTAAAAGTGTTGTTTTAAAAGCTTGAAACGTTTTCCAGAAGACAGGTTCAGCTGTAAGAAAGATTGGTAGCGGGCGGCTGAGGAATGTAACGGTGATTAATGATTTATGTATCGCCCTGCAGACGAAGAAAGATCGAAACCAGACAACGAGCAACATTGCTCAGCAGTTGAACAAGGCAACCGGACGGCAGGCGTTAGATGACTTCATAAAGGCGGCCTATTCGCCTGCCGTTCTGAAAGCTGCATATCATTGACAACAACCCATCGGCGGCATCATTTACTCATTTACATTGGTGTAGAGAATTTAAAGACTGGACTTCTCATCAGTATAATGACATGCTTTCGTTCCATTAACATCAGGGAAAGACAAGGTTGGATGGTCTTGTATGCTTATATGGGGAAGCATTATGATGAACGGACGGACGGAGTTCCACATTTTCGACAGAGTTTCACTTACCGGAAATCGTTACTTACTTACCACCAGCTGAGTTGCTGTACCGCCTGTTATATGACTATCAGCATTTGTACTCAATTGGAGGAGCATTCTATTATCGATAAGCCTAGCCAAAAAGCTTTATAGAATTTAATTTAATTAAAAATCAATAATTTGTAGCGTAAATATCCGGTGCTTTGAGAAGTATGATTGGATTAGTCAGCACCGAGGGCTATCTGCCTAAAGATAGGGATGCTGCGGGAGGACGTTCTAAGGGGAACTGGCTCGTATACACGTTACCTGGGAAACCACGAAAACGCCCATGCAGCCAGCCCGTTCGCGGGATTCGAACCTCAGACCGAACTACCAGTGTTCAGCGTCTTTAGGTAGACTCTCGGAAGATAGATATTTGTGACATGTGGTTATTAAAGAAACTTTGTCAAGACTGACTGTGCTAAATGATTTTTTTTAGATTGCTTTTAAATTTTCACAGTTCATTGCCATCTATTAAGAGTTTTAAGTTTGTTTCGTAGTAACTTACTCTTTTGGAGTTATTTCAGCCATACCTGGGGATTTTCAGCTGTGTGCGGTCGTAAAAGTAGTAGGTCTTTGGCGATTGAAGTTATCCTCCCCGACATTTTTTTTCTTTTTTTTTTTTTTTTTTTCTGGGAAGCCGTTGGTCGCGACTTTGTTATTTATGTATTACAATGCATGGCTACACAAAACTCATGCTGTTGAGGAGCTTCTAAGAAAAGAAAATATCCTTGGAATTGAATAGTCAGCATGCTTTCCTAACTTATATTGCAATCGCTGGAAAAATTGAATCCAAAATTAAGAGAGATACGTACTAATGTAATAATAATATACACTGTAATAAATTTTCAAAAACTTGAAGTTGACAAAAAATAATCACTTCTGTTACCATGGAAAATGTAGTTTTCGTATAATTAGAATTAGAAAATTTTGAAGTGGTACTGCAATCGGAATTCAGAATAAAAGATAACCAACTAATGTACCTATTTTATTTTTAAAAAACTGGCTTTAAGAGAGAAATTATGAATAAATATCTTAAGTCGCTGAGTTCTGAAATTGTTCATGAAGTATTTAATGCATATACGGTTTAACTTTTTATTATTTCGAATTAATTTGAGCAATTACATTAACTACAATCAATATGGCAGAACGTAAATTTTACCTTATTAGATTTTATACATTTGAGTCGCCTATATCAAATTGGCTTACCATAAATCCGTCAGAAATTTAATATCCCACTATTGGAACATAAAGAAGTTAAAGATCTTAAGACTTAATATAACTTTATTCCTCTTTTTTTTTTCAATTTGATGTGATTATTATAAAAAATAAGAACTTAACAATAAAATATTCATTTACCCTAGAATTTCTATAAGTTTAACCTGAAATATTTCGCTACTGGTACATGTACCCTAAATAGGTGAAATCTATGAAAATCCTCCATTTATTCTTATAATCCACAATTATTTTTACTAGAAAAAATGGAATACTTTTCCCACAATAAACATCCATAGATTGGGGGGCGGTAGGGAAAAGACTTTAAATATGATGAATAATGCTATAAAAATAAAGTAGTTCTTAATTTAATTTTGCCTGTTTTCAGATTTCTTATGCAATGGAGCAAAATGACTTCCCCGATTTTCGGAAATACGGTTTCAACAGCAATGCGTTTATAGAAGTAAGTATAGAAGCAAGTACTGAAGGTAAACACGAGAGACATAAAATTATATAGTTTTTCAAATAATTTAATTAAAAAGTAAGGTGCAAATAATACAATTCACGTAAATTAATTATTTAATATTATTTTGATTAGTATAATTAATTACAAATAACATGATTATTTTGAAGCTAAATTACGCTAAAAAATTTACCGTCGGACTTCAATTTTATTTACATATCAAACATACAATATCCAAAAATATATAAACCTACAAAAATACATCAAAATAATATGCTAAAAAAAGGAATATAATAATTCCATAATAAAGTGCTTATTTTTATTCACAAAAATAAAAATAACAAGCATATACTTAAAATTTATATACTCAAAATGTTTATTAGTTTTGTATCGTAATTGACAAACCATATTTTATAATTATGTTTTAAAATTTAAATTTGAATACTAATTTAGCTGAAAATTTAAAATGCAAATCCTGAACAAGCAAACTGACGATGAGACTAGAATATGCATTAAGAGGAATTCATTATTACCAATTCAAAACAATAAGAATTTTGCGCTTTCGGGAAATTTGTTTATCTTGTTTACAAAATTTGCTTGTATAGGGATATCTATTGCACTATTTTGTTTTAGTATATTAGATTTAAGAGGCTGTTTCACAATTTTAGAGCATTTTTTACCGTGGAATTAATAATTTAAATAATTACGTATTATTATTTGTTCGGTCTCATAATTTTTATGTGGGCTATGTGACTACACCTTGGCTTGTTAAGATAATAAAATAAAACTGATCCTTAAACTATACGATAGTTAAAAGCTCCAACGTGTCGAACATCTCCAGATCCAATTATTTAACTCCTCATAAACGTAATAATTAGCAGATTACTATTGCCCAAAAGCTTTACATGGTCTACAGCAGTATGTTAAAGCAGTATCTTGATTAAGTATATTACATATGTTCATATTTATTACATACTGTATTTTGACAATCTGAAGAAAAGAAACTTTTTTAACAAAATTTTCATTCTCAACATGGACTACCTTTTCTCAACAACATATCTAAACTCTTCACTCAATGCCGCGACTTGTAGCAGCGGTTATTGACAAAAGTGGAGGCAACACTCATTACTGATTTTCTCGTCTTCATCACTTTAATGAAGACTTATTTCAAATCAGTTAACACTGATGCCACGTGAAATCTGTGAAATAAATTTTGCTTTGTTATAGCTTGTCCTTCTTCGTGTTGCATTTTGGATGTCCAGCTGTGTATATTTAGTTTTTCATTTATCACACCTTTCTATACATTGTCATATAAACGCAATATGTTCTTTCTTTATTAATAAGTACATTTCAAGCATATTCAACTTCTGAGTTAAAAGAATATATGATTTATACATGTTTATATCACTTAAACTACATGCCCAGTGCAAATATCCTTCCAATATATCCTTCCAATATATCCTTCGAAGTGGTGCATTCCACACGATCCTGCCTCTGGTCAGTAGCTGTCTCGGTGATGACGTGTATGTAATTGAAGTGAATCGTTTCTAAGAGTGTTTCAATGCTTCCAATTATCGGTTGACTGGAAATTCCATTTCGTAATTTGTTAATTCTGAATTTACAGTAAGTAGTTAATCAGTTGTTGTAAAAGTTAATCAGTTGTAGTTAGTTGTAGTACAGTTTTAGTCATATTTAAAATGTTTGATTTGCTGAAGTAAATTTTTTAAATTCAGCTTTTGAATTGCAAGAGCACTTTCTATCAATTTACTAGAAACCTCATGTTTAGGTAAGATTTCAATTTTTTTACCATTTATGTATATGTGCTTTAGTTCCTACGGGATAATTCGCTGATGCAATAGTTTAGATTCATTCTGATGGAAGTTAAGAACAAAAATAATCAGTTTATTTTAAGATAATTTAAATAACTTCATATATTTGATCGTAATGATCATTGGAGTGTTGCTATAAATAGAATATTTGAAATTTTGCTTCAATTTAAACATACGTTATATGAGAAATAATTAAACTCTTTATTTAATTTTATTTATTTATATATTTTTTAGGGCTGGGCTTTGTATGCGGAGTACCTTGGTTATGAATTAGGACTCTATGAAGATCCATATCAAAGGTAAGTTCTTGTTTTTAACGTTTCGATTGAAAAAAATCCAAGGATTTGTTTGTGCGCATTGGGAGGGGGCAACTAAGTTTGAGGAACTTCTGATATGTAAGTAGCTGATCGCATTTAAAAGAATACGTTACTTAAAGTATCTGCTGTTACCAAAGAACGGTAATAGTATTTAAAGCTTGATTATCTCAATCTATTATTCAAGATAAAAATAAGCCAAGTACACAACACAAAGCACACTGTCGATTTCGTGATTCTGCTGGCAGTTCAGACTGAATTCATGAAACACTGATGCAAAAGAGTCCATTCCGAATACAAAGTACAAATATCCAGAATACAAAGTAACTCGAATACAAAGACAGCCTCACTTGTAGAATAATATGCATTTCGAGATAAACATACAGTTTATGTATTATGTTTTAAGTTGAGAGATAAGTAACAAGTAGTCTTAGTGTATATTTTAAACGTTAGCTTACACGCATAAGAAGGGCATAATTTTTAGAAGGGCCTTTCAAGATAAAATACACAAACTTATATTGGGGCTCATTCATGAATTGGCAATATTAACGTATAAGGTTTAACATTTTTTCTTCTACTGTGAAACGTGATTTAATCTTCTAATAGACTTTTAGCGACTTATCGCTTGGTCTACAGGAACTTTCGAAGGATGTAAAAGTCCCTTTTATTTTAAACTTAATAAGATGAACAGAAGGCACGCCTGGTGCTGACACAATCCACCAGCACTTATGGCAAGAAACTCAAAGTGGAAATTCAAATAGCTAATAACCAAAGGCTACACTCGAGAATTTAACCACGAAGTTGGCTTGGAATCCAGCAGCGGGATTTTTAACTATCGGCAAGTACCAACGCCGAAGACAGGAACTCTTTTAACCTTTTAACTATCTCGGGCACAGCACTGATATTCGAAAATGTCACGCCCGAGTATTACTCGGGGTAATTTTTTTTTTTTTAGTGCATCGTATTGTTATACACGATTTTTTTTGTACACGATTTTATTTTGTACTAAACATTTGATTTTTGCAATAAGAAAATTTGACAAGTTGTGTACCCAAATCACAAAATACTTGACAGTTAAGGGTTAAAAACCCTTCAGGGCGGTGGTTCGCCTGAACGCTTTTCAACAATTTTTTTTTTTTTTTTTAAATTTAGAAAATTTGTTTTTTTTTTCTCGAAAAAGCTGTTTAAAAATTAAATTACTTCTTAAGTGATAACGATGGCAGCAGCAAACCTATCTGGGCATCCATTAATTGATACGAATCGTTCAAAAATATCTTCTTTTGGCACACTACTCTTTTGACCAATTTTAAAAACAAAAAAAACCTCAAAATTTTTAATTTTCCAAATATATTTTATCAGCAGGCATCACTGAGAATGAAATGTATCCTTAGTCACAAAAAAAAAGTAATGGAACCCGTTTAATTTTGAATTGTTTTCAGTGCGGTGTTCAGTATGAAACACCGCCCCTCGGAAAATCGAACGAAAGTATTAGATGACGCAGTCGCGAGATTTTTTGCAGTGTTGTTTATTGCTTTGGATCACTGCTGAACAGTTGCAAAATATTTAATTTAAGGCCTTCAAAGATGAGGATTTATGGAGCTTTGAGAGAGGGAAAACATTTATTATTTTTTACAAGACACAGAGCACACTGAAAAAACACTCACAGTTTGCGTTTTTATTATGCTTTCTCTTAGCGGTCACTTTTCTCATGCTTTCTAGTGAATAGTAAAATTAATGTATGGGCATCTTAATTTATTTATTTTTACAATATATTTTCTTAGTTTAAACATAATTTTTAAAAAAATATGTCATAGTTTATGCAAGTAATTTAGTGCATTATTAGGTACTTTTGTCTCATACTTTTTGTTTACTGTTTTAAATTTTTGATTTATAATTAAATGCGTGTTAAGCAAATATTACTACTCAGTAGTTGTTCAGTAATTTACTAGTATAATCTGCAATCACTTTGGTACGTTAGATATTTTCGCAAAGTAAAGATTAAAGATAAATAGCAAATGTTTAGTCTTAAATGCTCTAGACGGGCGCTGGTTTCAAGGCGCAACCGGTCCCTTTACAATAAAGGGGGACGAAAAAAATTTTTTTTTACTTCATTTATGTTGTCTATAGGACATGCATGCATTAGCTACTTTTTTCATACTTTTAAAAAATCAAAACATTGCGCCTGAAAGGGTTAAGCAAAAACTAGTAACGTGTCCTTTAGACAGAACACGGTCTGGCTTAAAAATCTAAAACTCTCACTTAAATACACGCGAGCTAATTTGCATTCTGGAGGGAAAAACAGAAAAAGGTATGTAGCAGTAAAAAAATCTAAGCTTGAAATAAGTGTTATGTAAATGAAAGGAATACCTTCTGGCTGAAGTTAATTTAAAGCAGAAATATTTTTCGCATTTCGAAGGATAAATACTACTGGCTTTTTATATAATATGTATTTTATTACTGTCATTTAATTATATAATTACTGTCATTCATCTCAAGTAGTAAAAGAATGGATTGGATCCGTTGATAAAGAAGAAAAGAAGAGTTAAATTAAGAACTAATTCTAAGGGTGCTATTTCAAACAAATCTGAAACTAAGGGGAATTTTCAAAAACGGAATTTTTTTTCTAGCAGACGTAATAATTCGGAACTCAATAGAGTATTTCCACCGAAAATTTTACATTTTTCATAAAGTTTTCGATATATATTGCCAATGATTATAAGTTACAGATAAAATTAACTGAATCTAAGAATTGAAATAATATTAAAATACATTGTTTCAGTTTGTGTATTCTTCTGAATAACTGAATGCTTTTTTACAAAACAAATATCAGATACTTGTTATTCTGCAGCAGGAAAGAATTTTAGCAAACTCTATTCAATAAAATAAGTTTTTAGTTTACTGTCTCTTTCCCTTTCGTTAACGCTATTAAAGATTAGTTAATATGGTAGACGATAATTAGTTCGCTATGTAATTGGATTAAAACAGATATAGCCTTTAGCCGCTTAATACAGACGTAGAAAGTAATTGTATTTTAAATCATAGAAATTGGGATTACTGCTATGTTCTGAGCTTCGATGTGAACAAGTAACAAGCCAATTAAAAAAGGCGATGTAAATCGTTACTTTTTTCATAAGGATCTGAAACATTCTAACAGCAGCTTATTAATAATAATTGGTAGAATTCAGTCCTTATTTGATATTTATTTCAGTTAAAGGAGCTTAATCGCCCTAAAAGACATTACAAATCTAATTAGTTGATTAAATATTAACACGATAATTTTATTTTTGATGAAGAGAAACTTACGCCATTGTCTCTCAAAATTACCCGAATGATTTTTATTCAAAATAAGTCGAAAAAAGACTGAGTTTAATTGATTAATAAAATTGAAACAAATATCTTCTGTTTATTGAGAAAACGTTTTCATTTGTTTTATTGATGAGCATAATTAATTTATTACTTATTTTAAGGTACGGACATCTGTCGGAAGAAATTTTCAGAGCTTGTAGAATGGTTGTTGATACAGGCCTGCATGTCTTTGGGTAAGTGCTATTTTTGATTAACGTAATAAGCTTAACATCCAACGTTTTAAATATCTGTACGATGGCGTTATTTAATTTCTAAACGATAAATTTAAAAACAAGTAAGTCATTGGTGTTTTCCTACCTCAAGTTCCATATTAAACTATTAAGAAATCCAGGCTGTAATTAGACAATAATAATGAAAACTTTCAATTTTTATGAGATATAACGTTAAATCTTTACCTCTGAAAGATGTGAAGAATTCAACTAAAACTCAAAGCTCGTAAATTTAATACACTAATACATAGAAAGTTAACAATATTAATTATGGATATTTATTTAAAATATTTCACTTAACCGTTTTTGCTGTAATTTAATTAATAAAAATTTGAAAAAAAAATAGTCTGAAGTCACAGTGGTAAAGACTGATGAATTGGAATAGAAATCAGTTCAAGGGAGGAATGTCTTCTTTGAGGATTTTCTAAGGTGTACTGATTCCTATTCCCGTTAGATATGACGAAAAGTACGTAAACTCCACATAATCAATCTATTCGTTGGGAACCTAACTTTTAATGAGATATTGTGCCTTAATAATACATTAGAAGGTATTTTCTCGAATCACTGTCATAAAAATATGTGCCGTACGAGCAGCAGTGTTGCATTTCATTGATGTAAATTCCCGTAATTCGTCGCTGCTGTTACTCTTTAGTTTGCTTATATGATGTCCTTTGAAGTCGACTAGTCATATTGAATCCTCTAGACAGTTTCCAGTTCATTGACACCGATACAATAGTTGTCTGGTTCTTACACTGCTCAATTTATACGTCTCGTACGGCACTTTGGAGGATGCTTGCCAAGTCATGCGCATTAACTTTGCATTTGTATATCTGATTATAAAACCGTTAGTGTTTCTTTTTTTAAACTTCGGAACAAAAGACATGGAAAATGTTCATCCATACTGTTATTTCCTTCATGATGTTGAAATTTTTATAAACTTGCTAATTCCTCAGCTAGGGTCTAACTGACTGTTAAAATCGGGGTACTAGAGTTGTATGAAGAATATGCAATAAAAAGTGCTTATTTGGGAGGTAGGGTAGGGGATATATTCGAAATATTCCATTTTATTATTCTATAGTTCGCATAAAAGATTAAAAAAATACCTTTATGAAATTTTGTTAGAAATATAAATTTGCATTTCTTACTTTCGTAATTGTGCTGAGCAGAAAAGGCGAACTATATAGCTGTGCGGAAGGTTCCTGCCGATGAGGAGAGACGAATAGAGAAAGGGTAGTCTGTCTTCCAGATTCTGATGGTGCTGAAGTCTGACCTCCGGCATGCCGTCGATGATGTGTCACAGTGGCAGCGCTGTGATTCTCCAAGCAGGTGCCGAAGCGTAGGCAAGAGTCAAATAGGAATGCGCATGGGATAAGAATTAATAAACATTCGGATTATCGTTCTACATCGCCAATACCTGCCTATAGAAAGGATGTTAAGCAGAATCATATCACATTACACCAATCTATTACATTTCGTACGTTATCCATCGTAAAATTTCATTAATGTGTCATAGTCTGACACGTATGTTCATTTATGTTGTTAAATCTTAAGGATAGAAAGACACTGATTAAATCTTATGTCTAATTTTTCAGTTTGGTGCAGTTTATACTTCTGTAGCAGAGAACCTCGGTTCTATACTCACCACTACGCACAACTCTCAAGGTTCTTAAAAGAACAGCAAATCTTCAAATACAATATGTATGAAGTGAAAATGCTGTGATTTAAGTTCCGTTTTGCTACTCGCATCAGCAACTGAATCAAGCAGCTTTCTTTACATTTCATGTTTAATGAAATTTTACACAGATATATGTAATTTCCTTTCTTCATTCTTTAGGTGGAGCAGGCAACAAGCTATTGATTACATGATGGAGAACTCTGCAGCCACCTTAAACAACATTGAAAGAGAAGTGGACAGATATATAACATGGCCAGGACAAGTGAGTATGCATAAAACTTTTATATTGATTCCTTCTTTGTATATCATGTAGGTAAATTGTATAACATAGATGTAAATATATGCTTTGACATTTGATACGAATCAGATAGAGTAAAAACAATTTGCCAATTCACACAGTAAAAAGAACTTCTAAATCACATGGACGTAGCACAGAAGTTAATTGCGTAATGGCCGCCACCCGATGATACACTGCCAACACCACCATCTATGATTCTGCTCTGCTGTGAGGGTGAGTTCAAACCTACTCGAGCAAGCTAGCTGTATGGTTCGTTTATGTGCTTCAGCAACCCTAGATGCTTACTTATAAATCTGTTCTGCGAGTGTTGTCGCAATTCTAGAAACTGCCATGGATGATCTTATTGGCAGTGTAAAGCCAGGTGCTAGTTGTGAGTACACTGGAATATCAATAAATAAAATAAAACTAAGGAAACTGAATAGAAAAAAGTAACCAGATAGTCGTTTCGAAATCTCAATGCTACATTTCACTTGCAACCATAGGGCAAGTAGTGATTCTATCAACAACTCTAGACGATTGTACTTATTTGGAGGAATTGGTAAAACTGCATGAAATGTCATCCAATACTTAACTACCGATGACAGAAAAGATTTGCTATACATTATGCTTTTATAGTTTATTTGTAGTAGTGTAAGGAATTAAAAATAGTCCTGCCACTCGATCTTGCGGGCTAACGATTAATATACCAGATCGGTTTTTTAAACCATTTTGCTTTCGATGGGCTAGTGCACTGTTTATTTTCAATTATTTCTGGTTGTAAAAATCCAGCTATTATCTATACCTGGAGTTCTAAATAGAATGGTAACTTATGAATTCGACACGGAATTATGCTAAGCTGACCGGCAATCTTCTTCATCGCATAATTGCTAACTTCTTCATAATATAACACACTCTACTCATAAGTTCTCTTTTTACAATGACTGGCGTACCGAATCAGTTATTCAGAGATTTAGCGTTCAACTGCGGACGAGTGATTAGTTTATTTTAAACTATAAGGTTTTCTCCTTTCCCCCTTTCCGCACGCCCTCGTGGTGTAAGTGGATGGACATTCGAAGTGCAATCGGGAGGTTTGATTTTCGAATCCTGACGAGGACACTGCATATTTTTCACGTCTTCTGCATCGATAAACCTAATGACACTACAAAAGTATTTCCGATTCCCCAACTGCTGCTGGGATTAGTTTAAATAATGATTTTAATTAAAACAATCTTTCACAACGACCTTTCTGTTTTCTGCAACGAAATCTCAGAAAAAGTACCAGAAATTGTCATACATTTGTCTTTAATGAAAATTTAAAAGAAAAATAAGATTGGAATGATTTTACTGGATTTCAGTGCTAACTGATTATATCGAATACCTGCGTGAGAAATAAAAATTTAATTAATAATTTAACTAAACTTTTAGTGGATTCAATTACATGGACGCATAGAAGCTTGTGGAATGTACAGTTTATTTACAGAATCTGATGTATATTCATGTTAATTAAAGAAAAAAAATAAATTCAATTGTCCGCATAATGTGGGATTTTTCTCAAGAATTCACATACGCACATGAAATTTGTCTTAATTATTTAACACGCACATAAAATTTTTCATAATTAACTGAGTACTCACGTGTAATATTATGTGTATGATTATTTCTTAATTTTGGCACCTAAAAATTTTGTTTCTCATTTTTCTTTTCAACTTTGAATTAAATCATATTTTTAAGATTAATCAAATGCAGTTAAACGTTTAATAGCGATGCATAAAACTTGTGTTATAAACGTATAAATAAGTTTGAAATTCCTCCTGGCCTTTTGCATTATGAGTCACCCTTTTCGTATTCTTGTTTGAAGAGAAGTTTAAGAGTTTAATCTTAAACTTCTCTTCAAACAAAAATAGAGAGTTTAATCATTAAAGAAGCGCATAGTTAAAAATGAATGCATATTTATTTTGCAGGCTTGTGCGTATAAATACGGCGAAATGAAAATCAAGGAACTAAGACGAAAAGCTGAGGCAGAATTAGGTAAGCATATTTTTAAAAATTTTATACATATGTAAATAGTTTATTGAAATTATGCGTGAACTTGTAGTATGTTTTTGTATAATGTAACATGAAAATCCGAAAGAAGCAAAGCTTTGGAGGAAAAGGAAGAATACAATGGACAAGTCCATTTAACTTTGAGTAAAGGGCCAATCATGCTAAAGTGCGAGATATCGACCAGCTGGCAATGGCTTTAGCGACTTATTTTGTCGCCAATTTTGGCAAGAAAAGTCCCCAGACTCGGCGACCATTTCTCCACATATTGGTCCGGTCCATATATAACTGTAATTGGTATTGTGATTGAATAAGTGTAATTAATAGCAGTATTCAGTGTCTTCACATGCCTTCCAGTAATTTTGAGAAGGTACTAGAGATTTCTCGGCGGGCGGGAAAAACTATATAAGACCGGAGAGAGCATCAGTTTCTCAGTAGTTGTTTAGTTCAGCTTGAGATTGGAGTACTGAGATATGTCCGTGTGAGCTTCGTTCTTTAGATGCGCTTTCCAGTGTTTGTGTTTAACGTTTTTAGTAGTTTGATCCATAACTCCTGATTACATTCTTTGATACTATGAAACGCTGTACGAGTATATTTGTAGAAAGTTCCAGATCTGTGGAGTGTACCTTTTGATAAAGTAAATTTTATCAAGCTAACATTGGTTCTGTGTGCATTCAATCTATTACGAACCCGTGCGCATACAGCAATTCGAAATTTAACACACTTTATTTATGATTTCTCAGACTTAAAAGTGTTTCGTAACGACATTATCTTATGTTTTGTGAACTGAGCTTGTAGAATTTTAAATCTATTAACGTATTTTATTACTTTGTTGGTACTATCACTTTTACTTCCGTCTGCCCGTTAGGATGCAAATTAGTTTAATATAGGAAGAAGAGAGTTTCTGAATTTGAGAGAGAGCTTTTGGCAGCGACCAATGATCCTCTCGATACGATTTCACCTAGATTATGAAGCAGAAATTACAGAGAGAGAGATTAGCATTTAAAAGATTCCATACAAACTTTCTGTAATGTATGAAGAACTACACTTAGCAGTTACACCATGACTTTGTTCATTTAAACGATATGGTTACTTGGAAAGTCCACAGTGATTGCAAGTGATATCACAGCAAGTGATGTGTTTCAAACAAACACATCACTGTGGATTTTCCAAGTACCACTCTACGTTTATGGATTTTTATGTTCGATCACTGAGTGCAGTTATATGAAGCACAGTGTGTTGGTAATAAGAAAATCTTTCCGAAAGCTGTTTAAGAACCCTTGTAAATATACTTAATAATATTTAGTACCAGTTCTGAAACGTGTAAAACATGTATAAAATATTTATTATATTGCATTATAATTTATTAATTTAGCATGAACTTTATAGTAATGTTAGTAAGCAAAAATGCAAAACAATTGCAACTGCCCTTTTAAAGCAATTCTTCTGTTGGGTAATTTTTTTAAAGTTGATAATACCAAGTAAAAACGCTTTTTTGTTATTTTTACGTAAAGAATTTTAAAAAAATTCAGAATTCATATTTGAGAAAATTTAGGATTATCCCGCCTTTAGTTTTATTTACCCACATTTTTATATCTGAAAATAAGAATTTCATAATATTTGTAGCCTTAGTATAGCAAGTGAAATCATAAATTCACATGTAAGAGCTCAGAGTTAAACAAAGTTTTCGTTAGGTTTAACAAGAATAGCTAAAAGCAGAATCAGAATATTTCAAATGCTGGTAAATGTGTTTATTCGCTAGAATCCACAGTAAAATTGATCCTAACTCGCAAAGTAGTCTTCGTTTTGATATAAATTTTAATTTACCATTTCCTGAATCACAAGTAAGCTCCAAGTTTCAGCAGTATGCAGTTTTTTCAAGCACGTGATATTGGAAATCTTAAGTCTGGTTTAATTTACTTACTTCTATTTTATTTTAGTTTCAGAAATTGGGAAGAAGTGGAATAAAAAATCCTTCCCGTGGCTGCTGAGTCAAACTGATATATTACTTCTTTATTAGGAAATTATAAAATTTCTAGGTAATGTTTTATTTAACTCAGTACTTCTTGCTTTCTTCTAGGAGATGCTTTTGATATAAAAGAATTCCATGACGTTATTCTACGTAATAATGGACCAATGGATTTAGTCGCAGAGCAAGTGGATCATCATATTGCTGTGACTCTTGCTTCAAGGTCATAGAAGGAATTTGTTTTGAACATTAATGCAGGTAAATTATTCATTCTACATCATAAATGTTTTCGCTATCGGTAAAAGAACAAAAATTTCATTTCGAGTTTAGTATTTGTATTAAAATTCGAGAACTTCATGAACATCTGATTAGTTCTTGAATAATTTACATTTTTAATACTTAATTTTAATTTCACTTTAACTTAGTTTTTATGATTTATAAGTAAAAACGTGATGCTTTGCGAAGGTCTTCAAATGCAGGTAAGAATAAAAAGAAAAACATTCGGTTAACTGCGAAGCAATTATTCTGCTTTGTTTTTACTGCTGCAAATGAAATTATTCATTGAACAACATTTTAAAGTTTATTTAAATGATAAAACAACATTCGTTCCTTGAAACCAATATTATTTTCTCTCAAGATTAAGGAAGAGAGAAAAAACAGAAAGAAATAATCTTCCTGTTTTTAATTTTATCCAGTGATTTAAATTAAAGAATATTCCTTTAACTTTCGTACCGTAACATTAGAAGCTAATCTCATAGTAACTTCCATTTATAAGTAATTTTTCCTCAGATTATGAATTTGAGCTCTGACTATTAGGAATTTTATGCTTTTTTAAATATAAAAATAAATAAGGTGTAAAATTATGTATTAGGATCATATGAACTTTAACCGCATATAACTTACATACAAGCATTTCTCTAAACGTTCTTTATGAAAACAACTTTCCCCTTAGGCAGATATCCTGATTAGTTTTTCGTGTGATTAAAAAAATCTATATAGCAAAATAAAATGTTTTATTGATAAAAAAGAAAATAACCAAAAATAAAATCTGTAGAAACATTTTACAAATTTTGAACTATTATTTTCAGCACACTAAGCTCCTAGATCCGGAAGATTTCAGCTCTTTTTTACTTGGATGGATCAACTGATTTAGATGAATGACAAATAGTCCGATGGTCATTGACTAAACATTTGGGCCTTGAAAAGCTTAATGAATTCTTTACTTCATGGAGGCAACACATATTGGACTATGAACTGGGGTTCCTTTAAATGGGAGTGTAGGAGGTAGACAGGAGAATAGGGTGATAAAGAGTCCTGTTACATAGATCATTCAGTAATTCTATGTAATATAGCAATCAATCCAGCTTTTTTAATAGTTCGTTAATTTTCATGCCTAGCTTTAGCTTTTGCCAGGGGAAATTTCCTTTTTACGTCTATTAGCAAGGTCTGCAAGTTTTTAAGGAAACTCTTGCAGGTTTCTATTTGCTAGTATCGAGCAATACTTTTCTTACTTTCTTGAATAATTTCGTTGTTGGCATAACTCGTGTTCGTTGATACTGACAGGGAGATCCGAGGAAGAGAGTGTTACTCTTCCTTGCCAGATTTCTTCATTTCTGCTTCCGTAATTTTCGGAAACTTCAGACAGTTTCTGAAAAAAAAAGGGAAAAGGGTTCTGTCACTTTTCTGCCCATTTTCATTGCATGCAATTTCAACGAGAAGAAGATAGGGACTTCATTGTGGGGCCTCTCTTTCTCGAAAACTGCTTCACCCTAGAAACAAGTGCTACTTTTCTCAGCTTCCCCCCATACACATAAAAGTTCTTTTATCGAATAGAAAAACAAACAATCATAAGAACTTAACTTTTCCTGTTTTCAATAAGCCCACATTTCACCTTTTACTTAGAAGCTATATCCTTGGCTGTAAATATAGTTCGCCATAATAGCAGAATGTTCATTGAAAAATGTAATGAAAAAAAGATCTTTAAATTTTCTTTATTTTGAATTAAATTTAATGGGGTTTCGACATCAAAGAAATGGTTGATATATTTTGCCGTTATTGTGATTAATTTATTACATTACAGAAATATTTAAATAGAAATATGGAGTTTGAAGAATTTCTTAGAGAAACGGAGAAGATATCGCAATGAAATTTGAAGGGATATAAGCGTTTGAGAGCAAGACCATGCCTGTTGCAGAGAAAACGTTTTCGGTTTCTGAAGTTCATTTCAATGCTACAACAATTGAAATTTGCATGGAATATATTTAGTCACTTTTTCAAAATTTTCCAAACTATAAAAGTTTACTGTTTACTTCTATAGTACTGAAGTTTAAGACTCACCCTCGATGCTGATTTTTGATACAAATCGCGAACACGTTTAACCCCCTTCCCTAGATAAACGAAATAGCCCGAGACCTTTCCCTATATACAAACGGATAATATTTTTTAATTTCCTTTAATCAGTTATTGTAAAATAATACTATTTGTATTATATGAAATTAGAAATCTGTAACTGTGAAATTTCGAGTGTATAAAATACCGAAGATACTTTCATGTCTAAGGTTGTAATGTCTCGTTTAATTTATTAACCAGTTATTTTGTGTTAAATTGCTTTCCTGTCCTTCCTATTTCCCATTTTCCCGCTCGGATGGGAATTTCTAAGCTCGCGTGTATTTAGATGAGGTAGAAAGATGAAAGTATTTAAAGAAAGATTTTAGTGGGTAGAATCAGAGTGTGTTCTGCCTGCTGAAGGCAATGTTGCTAATTTGATTCTCTTGAGAGTAATATTTTGCGGCGTTGCGTTATTTTCACCCTTAGTTTTGTCTCGCAGACTTTAGGTCAGAGCCAACTTATTTGTGTCGCCTTTAAGCTTACTTAGTTAAATCACTTTTTACTTAGTTAACTCAGTTTCCTTGTCTTTGTTTTAAGCCAAAAATGCTGGCTTCTATAAGCATGAGTAGTACCTTCTGTTAACTTTTATTTGAGTTAAATAAAATTATTTGAGTTAAATAAAAGGGTACATACTCTTTCCCTGTCGCTGTATTAATTTATGAGACATAGAGATAATTTACTTCTAAGTCTTATTAAGCTTCGTCGAGTTCATGTTACCCAAGAATGTGAGACGTTATAGAGTGAGGGCCGATTTATTTTCATTTACTGCACTTACCTTGTAAGGATCCTAAGTTTTACTAACGTTTATTTTGTTTTAAATCTTTACTATCACTTCTTATTTTCTACTTCCGGCCAGAATTAAAAGCTTTTACTTATTTATGCAAATTTGTCTTGCTAACGCCAAGTACTTAAGTTGTGGCTTTTTGCCAAGCAAGAGAGAGGAAGGCGTTATTAGAAGCAGGCCGCTGGCCATAGTAGTTTTACTCGTTTGCTGGTTGCCTTCAAGGCCAGAGGTTTAATCCTCTTGATAATTTTAAACGTATCGTAGTTTTAGCAGCTCTCTGTACTACATACGGATTTTTTGTTAAATAACGGCCAATCTTAAAGTAGGCACTTGTATATTAATCCAAAGTTAGTTTAGTTAGAGTTTTAGTTAATATTTTTATATTCTTACGTTCAGAGCACAAGTGGTTGGTCTCTGTATTCCGAAGTCCGGAAATCTCTGTAAAGATAGAAAAATAAAGGGTTTCGTATACCCTTCCTGTGTGTATTGTCTACTTCAAAATTATTGAACATAGCTTGAGTAAGCTCCCTGTTCCGAGTCAGGACAGTTCATGTTTCCAAAGCAAGTAAAGAGGAATACCAGACCTGATAACCTAAGCAGATTCCTTGCTTTGATTTCATTTTTTGGAGTGAAATCGAAATTTTCACTGAATGACACCAATGGATTTGGATCTGATGAATTCTAAGCTAAAAACGACTTCTTTACTGCAAAAATAAGCTTTTGTTACGTGATGCGCGGTAACTGTCTATGTCGCCGCAAAGATTGTTGAAAAACAGTTCTTATCCGCTGTAACGTCAGAACATCCGTGTTGGGTGCAAGAAAAGACAGGTTGTCTTTTACAACCTGTGTTTTAAAAAAAATATTTTATATATTTATTTTAAATACTTAATTAGAAATTCTTGATTAAATAGTAAACTAACTGAATCATTACAGCCATAAATTAAACAAAAGCCACTGGCGCGGCGAGGACACCAAAATGCTTCCGCTTCCTCTCGTTTACAGCATCAAAAAACTTGTTACACAAAGCTCTCTCTTCGTTTTGTTAAAAACGTGGAAAGAGAATAATTAGTCCCTTATTGCCGGAAACCATACGAGGGGATTTCCGCTGCATATTTCTTCAAAGTTCTGCTGTCCATTTTGTCTCTGAACAAAACAGGAAGTTCTCATTAAGAACCTGGAAGTCCGAGGGGTGCATATGTCTAATCGTCACACCGCACTCAAATATTCCTTTGAATTTCATTGCAATATCTTTTATTGCACATTTTGCATAAATTATTGAAATTTTAAATTTCTTTTATAACAACTTTCTGCGTAAGGGAAACAAGTGTTAACTTCTATTTTTATGTAATAAAACTACGAAAACTATTTTTACATTAGATCAATATTTAGAAGAATTTAAATTACTTTATTTATTTTTTACAAAAGCACAATTAAACGTTTACATTTATTATTTTCAGGTAACTTATACTATTGGACTGCGAGAAGACATACTTTCAGCTTATGTAAGATGAAATGCATTGAATTAAGGCCACTTTTATGAGAAAGATGATATGAAGTGAACTGGTATTTACTCACCGAAAGCCTGCAAAGAAGAAATTTTCTCTCCCTCAGGGTTTACTGATTTATAATCAGCCGCAAAGAGAAGCATTTTGTTTTCGTCTATAAAATTGTTTTTATAAAAATTTTCTTTCTTTTCCGCAGTAAATGGCATTAAATATCTATTATATTTAATATTTGTGGAATTTGTTTTTGGATGATGAAGATCATACTGGTTTGAATTACAACGATTGTTTTTATTTGAAACTAAAATAATTTTAAAAAATTAAGTCATGTGTGGTTTACAATAACTATCTTTTATTATAACAGAAGGAAAATATTGATATCGATACAGACATTATTCAAAAGCACTTGTTGAAATGTAAGTTATATATAAATTTTGTCTGCAGCAATGTTGTACTATCAAATAAATGTTATACTAGAATGATACAGATATATCGATATGATACAAATGTAGGGATACCAGGTATGTACCGTCGATAGGCAGATATCGTCTTTACTTACTAGCAGCTTAGAAAATAGCACTATATTGCTCTAATATCGTCTCAAAGTATCAAGAAGCTTATACACAGTACATTGCTGGGATGCCATCAGTCATAGAAAATAATTTTGTGACTCTTAGGATAATTCACAACCTCTGGAGTTAACCCGCTTTTGTAGAAAAAGATCATCCCCTGTAGTCTCATTACTAAGTTCCACAGCTTAATTGTACTTCAAAGGATAGTCTTCTTTAATCGAATAACAGTCAAAGTAACTAGGTTGCCATGTGTTTATTTTGATAAAAATGTCATCAAGCAGTTTATGTTGATCACCTGAGTTCAGACGAAAGGTTAGATTATTTATGTGAGGTCAACGTTCTAATAAATTTATATCTTTGAAACCCTCCAACTGGTTTCGCTAAGACACCTTAAATTTTCTAAAACTACAATAGCAAAAAGGCATTTTCTTGATTTTAATGTAAAAATGCACCTGCTTTTTTATACCTGGATTTATATACTTTTAATATATTTACCTTCACTCTTTGGACATCCCATGTAAGGAATTATTGATCATTTCCAACTGTTGGCACTAACCGTTATAGGCGTTGACCGCTACTAAGGCCGGAAACGGTGGTCACTTTATTTATGGAGGCACCTAACAGGAGGACCAGCGTTGTCTACTATGAAGGGACAAACGATTTATATCCATGCCTTCTCCAGGATTGGAATCTGAGCCCTTCGGTACTGCAGTCAAAGTTACAAACCACTTTCCTATCTGGGCGGTGATTATGGATTATAGAAGATTATAGCTATATTATAAGAACAGCTTTAAAAAAGGAAAATAATATTTCTGAAGTGTAAAACTTGAAAATGAGGAATGCGAAAGTGTATATTTTTACTCGGGATAGTATTTCCTCTTGCAGTGAATCGATGCATTCATTCTAATGCATTCATTGTTAAAAATTAACAGGAACGTTATAAGTAGTTGTGAAAAAATATTAATGCTGATATTTCAAAGTGGCCCTCAAAGACTTTTCATTCTTCTATTGAAGAAAATGGTGCTATTTTGATACGTTGTCAATAAAGCGTTAATTGCATACGAAAAAAATCAGAAAAAGAAACAGCCGAAATGCCGCCTAAAAGCTGTTAATATGTTAATGAACTACCCAAAAACTCGTCTTGAAGAAGGAAAGATATAGACAATAACTCTTAGTATTATAGACTGTAAGGTATATTTTAATTTTATAACAGTTATTTTATGCTTCTTTATTATCTTACCCAGCTTCAATTTACAACTCCCTAGCAGAATGAGTTTTTAATATTGCGTTAAATGCAAATGAGAAAGAGAATAGTATTTAAGTCAGGTTCAATTGACTTTGCTAGAGAGAGTGAAGATTCCTGAGTAACGCGAGTTTGCCTTCGCGCTACGTCTCTCTAAGCTATTATTACGCTCGGCCGTATCACGTGCCTTTTGATAATTCGCTGGCATATTCCTTTCATAAGAATCTGTTTTTTGTAATCTGGAGAAACTCCACGAAATTGTTAATCTCTCAGGATCTGAGATAATCATCGTTCTTCACAAAATGATGATTTTTGGAGGATTGAAGCATTTAAATTCCTATTTTTCTTAAAAAATACGTAAATGCTTGTGCTATCGTTTTGGAATTTTGGAAGTCATTGTTACCGATAGCTTAACAAGAAGCGAGCTTTTTTGAATAAAGCCTGGCATTCACATTTGAGACTTGCTAATTATTTCAGCCTTTCTTTTGAATCTATCATCATCCTTAAGTTCTTCCATAAAAAGTGCATAGCTCTTACCACCTTGCCTCTTAAAATGGCCGCATAGCATCGTTAATAATTTGCTCAACAATAGTTCTTTAGAGAATATCAGGATGCTTATCCTAATTCTTTAATTCGAGGCATAAATCGTGAGCAAAGATATAAATAGAGCTTCCAAGTTTGCTTTCTTGAAGTTCCAAAAAACTTTATGGCAATGTTGGCTGGTAAATTTTATTAGCAAAAAATAATAGTTTCCAAAACGTGTCGATGACTGGAATCCGGATTATCAATGTCAGATGGCTCTACCAATATCTTTCGCTTTATTTCAGATTTCTTTGCTCCTGTTAAAAAGGGACCTGTACCTGTTTGCCTTCGAAATCGGTAGAGTCTTGACTAAAATTTACAGCAAGGACAATATTGTTGCTTTGCCTAATTTTACGTACACAGTTTATGTTTTCTTCAATACAATTAATTTGAAAAAAAATGTAAAGAAACGAAAGGCGACATTCATGAGTACAAAGTGATCAAATAAAGGGAATATCAAAATGTATTAATTATATTTCCAAAGAATTCTTCTGCCTCATGATATACGCCGAACCATTAAATGACAAGATGTAACAGAACTTAGTCTTTTAGAAATGTTTTATTTTTCTTATCAATAGGACTTGTTCATTAAAGAACAAGAACATTGATATTACAAACTACTTTTTTAATCCCCCTACTCTGACTTCAGATTCGTTTTAAATTGAATCCACCAAGATGTATACATGCTTTTGATGAATTAGAGATGAAAGAAAAATCTGATTTGTTTCTTGGAAAGCTATAAACAAATAAAATTTTAAATATTTATTTTTATTTATCAAGAATAAGACTGAGTTCTAAATGTCTGCATCAAATGTATTAAATAATTGAAAAAGTTCTGCTTTGATAGTTCGCATCAGCCTTCCCGTATTCTTTTCAATAATTCGTAGGATACACCTTTTACCGCATGCCAAAAATTACAGATCATTTTTCCGCAAAATGTAATATTACATTATAAGGTATTTCTCCCGCATTCTTAGCGTGCCTTCGTGGTGTAGTGGTCTGCACGCTCGGCGCGTATTCGAGAGGTCCTTGGTTCGATTCCCGGCGAGGGCATCACTCATTTTTCAAGTCTCCTGCTTCCAAAAAAAATCTTAATGTCTCTAGAACATTACCAGGGTACACCATGAATAGGTAATATATCTACTTAGCACCGCTTATATTCTTAGATTAGGATCATTAATAGCTTATGTATGTAAAATATCGATATTATAGTTTTTTGTATAATGTTAAAATACGATTACTGAAAACGTATCTGGCAACTCCATTAATTAAATTTTAAATACACTCTAAAAGTAGCATAAGTTTCGGTATTTGAAGTCTCTAAATAATATATTAAGATTTATTGTTCATTGCGGAAATATGAATGTGTATATACATATTGCTGTGTCAGAGACGAAAGAGAAAAATATAACTAAAAGAAACTGAGATAACGTATTTAGGACATTAAAAGAAAAACCTAGCAATAAATATTCTTGACATGTCCAGATTGTTAAGATGAACTCTTTTTAACAAATACACGTAAGTGATAAAAAATTGGGAGCAGGTTTTGAGTAAAATTAAAATTAAGAGAAGGGAAATATGTGATAGTTTTCCCCCAAAAAACAAAATGTCTACATTCAGAATAGATTACTCAATAGTTTAAAATTTAGCCTGAATAAAATTTTTAATTTTCAAAGCCTCAAATGAAAAAAAAATAGGAAAATATTAGAGATAGCACCAGGAGGTATTATTGTAGAGTCATTAGGTTTTTTTGGAAACAAGAGAAGTGAAAAATGTGCAACGCCTTCGCCGGGAATCGAACCGCGGAACTCTGGAATACGTGCCCAGGGTGCAGACCACCACACCACGAAGGCATGCCAAGAAGGCGGGAGTAATACCTTATATTATGAATAGGGTTACCAGACGTACGGATTTTATTATAAGCATGTCCAGGTGTTCATTCGAGATCGAAAAATACTCGTGAATTTTAAAAAGACTATGCTTCAGCAAAAACAAAGGAATTTTTGCATTTTATACAACATTTAGTCTTCAAAAGGAAATCGATTATAAGTGTCAGCGCTAAAGAATCTTTTATCCTGAAAGTTGGTTCCAAATATTCGTGTAATGATTTTTATGAACATGCAAAATTCAATAAAGAGTTTCTAAGGAAAATGTTAGCTAATGAAAAATATAAAAGAAAGGAACAACAAGAAATATTTCAACCATCCATATCATCTTCAGATCAGAAATTCTGCAAAAAACGATGCAGTCTTTTTTCAAATCTTGAATTCTGTAATCCTTTTTCTTTTATTACTTTATACCAACTATATTTGTAATACAGGCTTTTATAATGCAGCAGGTAGTAGACTTTCTAATCACTGAAATTAATATTTCATAAGTGTCCTTGACACGCTGGGCAGCAGCAAAAAATTTTCGGAGGAGAACTGGGGCCGAATATCTATATAATGAATTTTATTTCATTCTTTTCATTGGTAGTTCAAAAGTAGATTATAGAATACAATACAGCATTAATAAAAACACGCAAGCCTATTACGAACATATTGTACATGTACAGAGATACAAACACACTTTTTACTCAATTTCAATAGGTCATATATGCCATCTTCTCATTCTACCACCCACGAACGCACATGATCCGAGATTCTAGTTCTTAAAATATGGTAACCCTAATTATGAAAATACTTTTCACAGAATCTAAATATAGAAAAAGAATTTAAATGCAGTCGAGTGACCACGTTAAAAATCTATAAATTAATAAGCATCTAAATGATTGCCATAATACGTATTTGTTATATTAAAAGCGAATTTGTAGCTAGCACTATGAGGTTGTAA